AAGATGCAAAATCCAAACTGAAGTCGTCCCTCCTGAAGGTAAAGTGATCAGATTTTAAAAAGCTCTTCTCACAGTGTGAAGTCTGAGTCCAGGAGGAAATAACATTAAACTAAAACAGACCCTGAAGTAAAAATGAAAAGTATTTTGCATATTACAGATGATCCTTCAGGTTATTTCTTTGTAAGTTGTGAGAAAGTTCCTGCCGTCGTATCCCTGCGTCCAAGACGTCGTATTTAAATGTTTGTCCAGAACGTAAAAATAAAAAGCTGGAACAGAAACAACCGCTTTGGAGACGCTGCAACCAGCAAGTCTTTGTAGTTTAAGAAATCGTTTGCTTTTTGTTTTCTGCATTTATTATTGAGCAAACATTCTGCCATTAAAATGGTTGAAGACCAGAAGAAAGTCAACTCAACAGTCCGATTTAAGAAACGACATTAATGGTTGAGTTATATAGTTTAAATAAATCAACGTTTTCTTGGCAAAGCAACAAACAATGAACACAGTTTGTCTTTGCAAAGTGCTGAAGCTTCACACAGCGACGGCACCACTTTGGACCGAAGCTTTTGTCGTAATTCGGGCGTTTTTTATTTATTTGTTTTGACTTTTTCACCTTTTTTTTTTAACACAGCAGCTCAAGCGAGTTGGCACGTTGCTGCGTCAGTCTACTCATTACGAAAAACAGTTTTAGAAAACTGACAGAGCGTCGTTGGTCTGTGCTGTTGAGTCATCGGGCCGCTCTTGTGTTTGAAGTCTTCGTCGATGAGTGATTTTGTAGTTTTGTGCGAACAGACCAACACCAATAAACTCCGTTATTGGCCACATGAGAGCAGCTCTCAGGAGGAAAAACTCCCAAAGATTTCTGTTTTCATCTGTGATCGATCAGAGATGTGCGGAGAGCAAAAGGCCACCGAGAAACAAACTTCCTGCTGCAGCGATGTCGGCGAAGCTTTAAAAGCCTTTTACGCTGTTTTCCAGGAAAACTGAGGCTCACACGTGAACCTTTTTCTTTCTTCTCAGCTCCGTCTTGGAACAGTGTTTTTCCTCCTGAGAGTCGTCCCGTTCTGCATCGTAACGCTTCTTTTGTTCGTATGAGCCTCGCCGCAGTCAGAAAGTTGTGAAAGTTCCAACATCTGCTAGAAACAGAATTGAACCGTAAAGCGCTTCAGCTGCAAACACTGTATGAATATGCAGTAAAGAACTCCGTCAAACGTAGTTTCCTGCGCAGAAGCTTCCCTCACAGAGAATTAAAAGCAGTCGTTGGGCTGCTGTTAGTGGTTTGAGAATAGAGTGGTCGTTATACCGTAAGAAACTGGAATATTTTAAGATTACAGCCGCAAATTATGAAGAAATCGTATTATGTTGAGAAAATGCTGCAGTTTAATAAGTCATAAGTTCATGATCCAGGTTGCAAAACTTCCACAGATTAATGTTTAAATCCTACAGTAAAGAAAACGATAGAATTTAAATAAGTTGTAGCTTCGTTGCCAACCTGGTAAATTAAAGATAATTTTTTTTTTAGATGAAAAAGCCAAAATGTGGAGATAAATATTTAAAGAAAACAGATTTTTGTGGTATAAGGTCGTAGTTTTTGTTTTTTTTAAATAATTCTGTTGAACCACGATTCAAAAGCAGTTTCTGATTTTCACTGGTTAGTTTTCATAGAATTTTTATTTATTATTACTTTTGTCAGATTCAAGTTGTTTCTGTGACCGTTGTGGGTTTTTTCTTTCATTAACCGACGGCTACCAGCTGGTTTATTTATGTGCTTGTAGCTGTAACTTTACTATGAAGGTAAAATAACTTTTAAAAAGTCGTCAGATTCTCATATTTCATTCTTATGAAAACAATTTCACTTTAATTGTAGAGAGTCAAATGAAAAAAAAATGACAGTTTTACGAGTTTTAATGATTGTTTTCAACAAAATCTTGTAATTTGTAATTATTTGAAATATTAAAAAATATTTTATTTGTGTTTAGTTTTACAATAAACGTAAAATATTTTCAGAAACTGTATGAACTTAAAAAGAATATTCGATTGATTACTTTATAAACAAGAATAATAAATGTTAAAATAACATTCAGTAAAAAAAAAAAAAAATTATAATACAGTTTAATAATTTGAGATGACGACGTAACCTTAAAATAAAAGTTATATGTTATGTATAAATAGTAAAAAAAATTTGTTTTTGTTTTTTAAATTTCGGTCAACTTTACAATAAAATCATCTCAAACTTATTCGACCTAATTTCCTCAGACAAACTAATAATGACCGATTTTGTAATTTATAGGACTAAAAAGTGCACTTTTCAAGAATAAAGTTGTAATATTCACAGAAAATTGAGCAGTTCACAGCTTCAAATGGGAAGAAAATGACATTAAACCAGTTTTCTGATCTCTGAGACGTTTTAAAGCCAAACAGAAGCTCACGGCTTCATAACAGGATAAATAATAACAGTAGTTTTCTGACACTGAGCTCTTAATCAGCAAATAGAAATCTTTTTAATTTTTAACCATAACAGCAGAAACACACCATGAAGACGGTATAAAATGCTTTATTTGTTGAAATGCAGAAGCAAAGTAGAAGTGCGTCGCTGTTACACTCCAGTATTAAAAATAATTTAAATATATTACAAATCTTCAGCGTAATCGTTGAGCAGCTCTACAGGAGACCGACGGACGGGCAGTGGCAATTCATGTTCTAAATTAACACCAATTAAAAAATCACGTCTCGAGCCTTTTTAAGAAAACTATCAAACTGATTCACGAGCAGTCGCCTTAATGAAGGACTCTCGTTAGCTCGCCATCCTCCGTGTAATTGTCTCGATTAGCTCGTGTGACATCCAGCGTCATTGGCTGCTAGTAATTCTCTCTTTAACATTCGATTATTCAAATCACAGAACGTCTACGATCAGTTTGCTCAGAGAGTCTCTGGTGGAGTTGGAGCGAGCTGAGGCGGATGTTTGGGCCTCGTTGTGCTGCAGGTGTGATCTGGTTTCATGCATTTGCGCCTCTGCATTCGTCCGCATGCATCAGAGCCGCAGAGTTGAACGTCTTGTGCTTGTGAAGCTCGTCGTCTTGTCACAGCGAGATGTCCGAGGAAACCTGCAGCTGCTGCCCTGGTTTCCATTTGGCGCTCCGCCGGCCGCCGTCCGTCCGTCTGTACGGCTGGTTCCTCAGATCTGAGGCGACAAACACCAGAGTCCATCAGAGAGCCAAACATCTGATGCAAGTTAAAACACTGAAGTTCTCATCTTTGTTCACAGGAGCTACATTTGAACATGTGTGAAGGGCTGTGATTCATATTAATGATAAAGTGTTGGTGTGTCAGGTGGAGGGACGGGGAGACGACACGTGTAGCTGCTGGTTAGTGTGTTTGAAGCTGGTTTGTGGTGGACTTTGTCGTCATTTTGCTTATTTCTAGACTCTCTGTCGAATCATTTTGCGCCTCTGAGGCCTGAACACAGTCATCAGGTGTCACAAAGGTGCGTCTCCACTTTCTACGTTCACTCAGACTTTCTGCTTCAAACTCAAAAGTTTATCGCGTCACATGACTGCCTCTGCACAAAATGAACCAATAACGTCCTGAACCTTCAGTCAACAGGTTGTTTTAACGGAGAACGATGAGGAACATTAAAAGGTCTGACAGGAAGGAACAGTGTGTTAGAGCCACAACTCTATGACTGTTTGTGCTTGAGAAGAAACTCTAACAGCTTCTGACAGAAGAGAAGACGAGCTTGGAAGGTGGAGGGCTGCAAGGTGGATCGGTGGTTAGCACCGTCACCTCACAGATAGAAGGTCGCCAGTTCGCGTCCCAGTGAGGACACCCAGGATCTTTCTGTGTGGAGTCTCCATGTTCTCCCCGGGTTCTCGGCTTCCTCCAACACGGTCCAAAAACATGTTGAGGTTAATTGGTGATTGTAAATTGTCTGTAGGTGTGAATGTGAGTGTGCTTGGTTGTCTGTCTCTAAGTGTAGCCCTGTGATAGACTGGTTACCTGTCCAGGTGAACCTGCCTTCACCCTGAGTCAGCTGGGATAGACTCCAGCCCCCCATGACCCAAGTGAGGACTAAGCGGTGTATAGATGATGTATGGATGGAGATAATCGTTGTATTACGGTACCACAACACACTCATAAGTTCCTGCTGCCTGAACACAAACAGAAAACATCCACTCTGCCTCCACTGAACCATGTGGGCTTCACGTTACCGTAACTCCTTCACTGTTTGGTGCAAAAACAATCAGTCAGTCTGACTTCTGAGTGTTTTACAGCCAAAATCCTTTTAAAAAGTCCAGACGGCCTGTGTGGGGTTTACTGATCCATGGAGCTGCTCATTAACCGTGTTACACTTCATGGATCTAAACAGGATGTGGTGCTGAAGTGCGTTTAGGTCTGACTCCCATAAGGCAGGATGTTCATTTAATTTTTGGCCAAATCAAAGCAAAATGAATGTTACTGGTTAAACATTCTCTGTAATAAATACCAGTTCATCCATTCAGCGGTTCTAGTAACGTACAAATTTACAGCTGATAGTCTATCGTTTATAGAGAATCATCAGTTAAAGGGACAAACAGCTGATTTAGATCTGGTTAACAGAGACACACCTTTGTGACACTGACCACTGATGTGAAGCTCAACGTAGCTGCTAGCCGTCAACACGACAAACCAGCAGCAGGATTGAGCTCGTAGGAAATGAGAGGAGTCAGTTTGATCCTCTGTGAAGGCAGCAGGCGGCTTCAGATGTGTCAGAAAACAACGGAAACCTCAGGAGGAAAGTCACGAGGCTTAAATCCAGTCAGCACCCCAAATACTGCTTCAAGGGCAAACTGAGTCCAATTCACATGTGAGGAGGCGCTGAGGTGTCAGAGGACGACGTCTGCTCAGCTTCATCCACCAGCATCTGGTCTCACTGCTACCGTTTATGAGTGGATTTGATTTACACGCATTCAACCAGACGACACTTAAATGTTCTGAGTAACGTCTGCTCTCCGTCCCTGCAGGTTCACAAAACACAACAACAGCATCTCAGAGAAAAGGAAGCGGCGTCGAGGGATTTTCAGACGTCACCTCGTCGCTGAAGACGGAGTCGCAGAAGAGACGAGACGAGCGTTTGGCGGAGCGAGCCGTGAAGGGCACGGATTTAAGAGCTGAAGACACCAGAGAGGACGGGAAGAGAGGAGGGACAAACAAGGAGGAGGAGAAATCAGAAGAGAAGGTTGGCAGTGAAGAGAGCTGAAAACAGGAGGAGATGTTTAGAAACAGTGCAAAGCAGGAAGAAGGCAGAAGTCAGATCTGAAATGAACATATGAACATTTTGGGAATGAGATGAGTTCATTTATAGCCCGTTCATGTTCTACAGAGCTGGAGGTCAGGAGGTAGTTAGCCTAGCTTAGCATAAAGACTGTAAACGGAGGGAAACTGCTAGCCTGACTCTGTCCCAAGTGAAGCTGTCACCTCGAAAGCAAACAGAAATGTAGCAGCAGCTGTTTTGTCTTATTTAATGATGTGAAAAAATAAACTGAATAACCAAAATGTAGTTTACAGATAACAGATGGGAGAAACCTGCACGTTGGTTTTAGCTGAAGATGGCTGCAGATATCTGAGCAGCAGCTTCACTTTAGATGATTTAACCGTCATTAGGCATCTTTCAGTGTTTGTACCTGTGTCGTCAGTTTAGTCACCAGCAGTGTGTTCATGACGTGTTGGCCCTTTAATTTAAATCAGCTCTGATCTGTAGTGGTTGTAATTAAACATCGGTACAGTTAGAATACCTTCAGCGCTGTACCGTGCTGTCAGATCACTCTGTCTTTGTCTCTACGTCGTCTCAAATGTGGAACGTCTGTATTTCTATTTACAACTGTGTTATCTGGATGGAACTCTGGTTTAACATCGTACCAGAAATGTAGGAATATGGTTGAGAAGAAGTAGTGAGAAAGCAGTGAGAATATTCTAAATATAGAAGTTTTTGTCCCTTTTTAGTGGCTGAACTGGGTTTATTAACTTCATCACACTGACTGATAAACACCTCAAACACCCACAAACCAAACCGTCCCCTCCAGATGTGACCCCCGGTGTGCCTCCTACCTGTGATGATGTCCTCGATGGCTCCGTCCTTCCCCTCCCTCACCAGAGGAGAAACCTGCCTCTTCTTCAGCTCCGCTATCAGATCCATCTGAGGCAGTTTGGACGTCGCCGGAGCCTGAAACAACAAATCAAACGAGTCCAGCCTTCCTCTTCCTGTGAGTCACAGTCAAGTCGGTTTTATTTCTATAAACAGAAAATTAAACCTCGCCGAGCTGCCGCGGCGCGTTCTGCAATCTGTGCAGCTCACGACGGCGTCAGATGGGCGAAGACATGAGCTTGTAAACGAATCTCCTGCTGAGCTAAAAATGTTTGTCACAGCCTCAGCCGTCGTTTGTATTCGCATTAGTGAGCCGGTCGGACATGGACGCAGAACTTCTCTCTGTTTGGTCTTTGCTTCAGCTGCTGCACCAACTTTGTAGCTTCACTTCAGCTATTTAGTCAAACGGAGAAGCTTTTTCTACTGAAATCTGTGTGCTGGTTTCACACAGACATCTGCTGCCGGGAACAAGAATGAAAAGGAAAACTGAATCTTTGTGGGCCGTCATGGCGCGTTTATGTTGGTTTGGTTTTGTCTTTGGATGTGAAAACAGACAAACTCTAACGATCACTTCAGTAAAATGATGGTCCGTTTGTGTCGGAGCAGGAAGTTTGAGTTCATGTGAAAACTCATAAATGTGTTTTTGTGTCTGGTCCTGATTTGCTGGTCCTCCAGCTCAGAGAACAGAACTTAGACATGAATCAGCTTATTGGTGTTTCTGACATTAATTTAACTTTGATTTGGATGAAGACTCCCTCAGCCGTTAGCAATACGGGACAACTCGGGCCTTCACCTCCTATAGATTCATTCTTCTTTTCCTTCTTTCCCAGTGAAGGTTTGTTTTGTGTTCGTTGCCCCGTCACCTGCTCTAAGGAAACTGTGGACTGATCTGCGATGAGGTGATGTATGTTGGTGTTATATAAATGCAATCTAATGTAAATATAATGCTTACATTTTAAATTGAGTCTATGCTGTCCTCACTCCTCTGCGTAAACACAACCTGCAGTTCAGCCGAGAGATTCCTGAATCTCTGCCAAGCAACTGCTGCTCACACCAGAGTCGGTAGAATTAGTTTCTGGTATTTTTTTAAACAAATTGAGCAGTAGTAGAATAAATTGACTTTGATAAAATATTCAGGCTGTGAGCTCAGATTTGGTCGCTGAAACCAAAACTAACACGATTAGTTCCAGGACTGTTGTAAGGTTCACAATATGGCAATTGTTTCCCTGTTTTTACAGTTTCTTGCTCCAAAAATGGTGTAATTTTGGCCATTTTTAAAAACTTTATAGGATTCAAAGAGTAAAAACATCCTGGAGGTTGTAACGTCTGTGAGCGGCCACAGTGTTTAGACCAGGGGTCTCGAACTCCGGTCCTCGAGGGCCGCAATCCTGCAAGTTTTACATGTTTCCTTCTTCCAACACACCTGATTAAAATGATCAGCTCAGCATCAAGCTCTGCAGAAGCCTGATAACGATCCTGATCATGTGAATCAGGTGTGTTGGAAGACGGAAACATCTAAAACTTGCAAGATTGCGGCCCTCAAGGACCGGAGTTCGAGACCCCTGGTTTAGACTCTTCTGCTGTCACTAGGGCAGTCCTGTGTTTGGTTTTCCTGCTCTGGCTGCTTTCTTTCAAAACTCAAACTGAGACGTTACCTTGTTCCCTGTGACTTCAGGTTTGGGAGGAGTCGACGGAGCTTCACAGTTCAGGACGTGTCTCTTCCTCTGCTCGATGTCCTGCTCGGCTTGCTATCAGAGAAGAACCCATTAAAAGTATTAAGGCCCCATAAAAAGCTTGAACTGATAGCTGCTGATAAACTGTAGTGGCTCTTATCTGACCTTGTACGCTTTGATGAATCTGACAAAAACAGGGAAGAACATGGAGGGCGGCGTGGTTTTAGAGTTCTCCCCGAAGTAGTCCACCGCTGAGTCATACACGTCCTGCAAGACCGATAACGCGTTCATCTCACGACCTCCAAAAAACTCTCGCTGAGTTTACACCAAGCCTCTTAATTAAAGCTGCTGACCTGCGCCGTCTTCCCGTCGGCGATGAGCGAGCCGAGCAGCTCGGTGTTGCTGCTGATGAACCTCTGCAGAACCGGGTTTTCTTTTTCCACCGACAGCTCCCTCCTCGTCACCTCCATGCCTCTCTCCAGAGCGCGGACGTCCTGCAGGATGCTGTCCACGGAAACTGCAGGACACAAAACCAGAGGTCGGTTTAAAGCTGAACATTCTCACTGTTTCACAGTCATTAGAGCAGGGGTGTCCAATCCTGGTCCTCGAGGGCCGCAATCCTGCAAGTTTTAGATGTGTCCCTCTTCCAACACACCTGATTCAAATGATCAGGATCGCTATCCGGCTTCTGCAGAGCTTAATGATGAGCTGATCATTTGAATCAGGTGTGTTGGAAGAGGGACACATCTAAAACTTGCAGGACGGCGGCCCTCGAGGACCGGAGTTCGACACCCCTGCATTAGACTCACGGGGTTAAAGCGAATGTATGGGTCACGCTGTGGGAACGAGGTGAAAGAAAAGATAACCTGCAGGAATAAAGTGATCCTCCTCATTTACATGTGACACCGACAGCTTCACTAGAATCATCCCCAGTACAGAAATCTATATGAAACGACTACCAGCCAACACACAGAAACAGAACCGTCACTAGAACATGACTTTGTGCTGTAGAAACAAGATTTTCAGTGTTGGGGTGAATGTAATATTTGCAAACACGAACTGTAATTTCCTCTGAATGGAACCATAATTTACAAAACAAACATCATTCTGTGTTAAGGGAGGCTTGTAATTAGCGACTGAGACCATCAGTTTATGAGGAAAATGTTCACTGAGGTAATAAATCAAGTCAGAATTAGACTAATTGTCTCATAGACTTAATATCCATAATTATTGGTGAAGACGTGTTAAAAGCTTTAAAATAAATTCAGTTTTTATCGCAGAAGCTCGTCTCACACTGAAAACTGTAGAAAAATGTCACCTTCAACTCAAATGACTTGTTGGCAAAAGGGGCTGTACGTAGTATTAACATCAAGGGTGCTGATAATTGTGATTTGATAAAAGAATTATTTTTTAATGTGGGATTTTTTTCACACTGAATAAATGTGCTTGAATTAAAGGTTGAATTTTCTTATTTTTTTTTCATTATGGTCCAATATTATTTAGAAAAAAACTGAATTTACTAGAAGCTAAAGAACACATATTAACCAATAATTAGTTCTGTGGTGTTATTTGTTTTGAGGCCACAGTCGTCGCCCCCTGCTGGCTGTTAGACAGAATGCCGCTTCAACGTTTCACTTCATAAATCTGGAGGCTGCATCCATATTTAATAAACAGCCTGTGGTCTCATAGTCTGCACCAGCAAAGACACAAATGCTGCTGCTAAAAAAATCTAAACAATCTGAGTTCAGTATTCGTTAAGGTCTTTAACTCCACCTGTGACCCGTTAACACGCCTCCTCCTGCTCTTACCCAGCGCCGCCTTGTCCAGGAAGTGCAGCTCGGTGTAGAAGGACTGCAGCTCCGGGTATTTCTCCTGGATGATGCCGACGATAAAGTGCAGCAAAGTCTGCCTGCGGTCCGTAGATTTAGTGTCCAACAGCTTGGAAGAAACAATACGACATCAGATGACTACTGGATTATCGACAGAAACTCAATTTAAAAATTAGCTCGTAGCTGCAAACGAGTTCACGCACCAAGTCCAGACTCTGCAGGCGGAAGCCGTACGCTGCTCCTCGCTTGCTGCTGTTCATGTAGTTTCCAAATGCCAAGATGATCTTTAGACCAGAAACAAGAGTCACAAGGTTTGCTGTCATTAATGCTCCTGATTTAAACGCACCGACTGCAGTGTCACGGTACGATATTTATCAAACAGGAAGGACTAGACGGACATCAAGTGATGTCATGTACAATAAGGCGCTGATAAACAAGAGTAAATCTAAACCTGCTAACCGATAAACTGACCTGCTGTGAAATCCTGATCAGTGTTTTCTCAATGTCAGGAATCATTGATAATTATTGGTAATAATAAAGTTACTGCTGTTGAATAGAATAGAATAAAACTTTATTGATCCCTTTGGTGTAAACCTCAGGGAAATTGTCAAAAATACTCTTGCAGGTATTTAACAAACTCAGAGGAAACAGTCCTGAACAGCTGGAAGCAACAAACCACACTCCACTTCCTGGATTACATTATTTATTGATGGGTGTCATTAATCTGACCTGCTACAGATTCTGTAAAATTAAAAAAAAAAAACAATAATTACCTCCAGAATTTTCTTCAACTTGCTGGAAGATTTGAGCGACATCGAGGCGGCGATGATGGCGTTCAGTTGCTGCAAGAAACATGTCAACGGGTCAATAGACGGTTACAACCTGCTGCCTTATCTGTAGTTTTTTTTTACAGTTCATATTAAAGGAGCAGTCTTGTATGTTGGGGATTATGTTTATTTGCTTTCTTGCAGAGTGAGATGAAAAGATTAACACAACTGTAGAGTAAAATGTAAAATCAACGATAATGTTTTCACCTTTTTCAATGTGCTTTTATAAAACGTGTTGATTTTATGAGTCGTCTGTTTTATTCTGTTGAGCGCTGAAGCAGTTGGATTTTGAAACGTGCTCTACAAATAAAGATCATTACCATTATTACTATACAAAGCTTTTCTTCAGTGGTAAAAACATGAGGTGCTAACAGCTAATTTGGTTCCAACTTGCTAAGATGCTAAAAAAATGTATATGTATCTGGTTCTAGGTCGTGTCTTAGTTCAGGAACGCATGGCAGTATGATGTCTTAGTCTGACACCAACAGACGTAGATTTCGGGGTTGCAGGTCATATGTAGCCTCTAACTCATTAAGTCCAGTTTATCTTTATATAGATAAAGACATTTCTAGCATCAATTGTTGCAAGAAAAGTCCCTAGAATGCAGGAAATCAGGTGTTTGATGCTTGAAATCTCCTGCTTCGTGTGTTGCCCCTCAAACCAAACCATGTTTACATCCCCCTAAAAAAACTGATGAAGTGATTTTGTGCAGCTCTGAAGAAGCTGCTGCTGTAAACGGAGACACCAGGAGTCCTTTAACTCACTTCAGTGTCTTTGTCAAACACGTTTCAGGTGATAGACCGTCCGACTGGACTCACCGGCTGGATGAGCTGGACGCTCTCGGGGAAGTTGCCCATGAAGGTGAGCGTGCTGATGCGCTGCGACAGTCGCGGGATCTTGCTGAACCGGACCATGAAGCGGTCCTCCTCGCTGAGCTCGTCCAGGTTCCGGCCGTCGCACTCGTAGCCGTGGATCAGCTTCGTCTCGTACTCGGTGGGGATGAAGCGCTCCAGGAGCTCCAGGAAGTCCAGGCTCAGGGCTTTCTGGTTGTACCTGAGGGGACGGCAGCGACGTGAATGTGCGCCCTGATGATTTACCGTCATTCAGCTAAACCTGACTTCAGCTCTTACGTCTCGATGGCGCAGCAGATGTCCGAGGCAGCCATTCCTTCCTTACGCAGGGTGATGGCCAGGTTCTTGGCCCGGTTGGGCTCCATGAGAGACACTTTGCTGGGAGTCTTGTGGGCCATCTTCATCTTCAGGGTCCCCAGATCGACGGGGGTGGACTGAGCTTTGGTCTTAAACTGCTCCTCAAAGGCCGCCATGTTCAGCTCCTGGTTGCAGTCCAGACAGACAAACGGATAATTAATCAGAGCTCCAGTATAAAACAAAAGATAATCTGATTTCAACTACTTTACTGTGAATCACCTGCACACCAGACTTCAAATGTTTATAGAATATTACTACCTGCTTTTTTTTTTTCTTCATAAACTCTACAAACAATATAAAAAGCCTCCATCATAGCATTTACATGAAATTAGGTTATTTTATTTTCTAAAAAACAAAGCTAGATGTTATAAAAGTCCAACAAAAGTCATATTTTTTAGCTTATTTTTGAGTTTCCAGTAAACCTCAGTGGGTTCCTTCCACCTACGCTCAGACTTTTTGGAGAAAAATGTAAATTAATGACTTTGTGTTTGTTTTGTGACCTCATGTTGACGTGGTGTGACTTCAAGGATTAATCCATTATTTTTGGCGGTGGGGGGAACGCACTACTGTTTAGAACTGGTCCAACCTAATGGAGACTTCTACGTCTGACGTATTTAATGTTTACGTGGCTCATTTAATTCATCTACAGACAATGTGTAGACTGTTTTTCCGAGAGTATTCCATGATTTTCTCTTGTTGTCTGCAGGCCTGAAATTTGTGCCTCGTTCGGATGAAACCCAGAAGACGAAACACAAAGCGATCGAACCTCTAAGACGTGTTCGTCGTCCAGCTCGTTGAAGATGGTTCCTGCCACCTGGTTGGACTTGAGGGCCTGCCAGTTGAACAGCGGCATCCGGTATTTGGTCTGAATGGGCTTCTTCTTTTTACAAGCTGCAGGAAAAGTCAGAAAACGTTCAGAGAATTCACAAAACTGAGCTAAAACCTGTTTCAGCGTCCAAACAGAACCTGATCTAAAGCTGTAAAACCTGCCCGACTCACCTGAACTCCCACCCGTCCCCTCGGCTGACAGCTGGGTCGTACCACCTGCAGGAGGCAGCGGGGGAGGTGGAGCTGCTGGAGGAGGAGGTGGAGGAGGAGGAGGAGGTGGAGCTACAGCTGAGGCTGGAGGAGGAGGAGGAGGAGGAGGAGGAGGAGCTGGAACCATCACTGACTGTGGAGAAGCTTCAGTTGTGGACTGTGAGGAGGTTCGAGCTGCTTCACGGTTGTTCCCTGAATCAGGTTCGTCTCCAGCTGTCAGAGGAACAACAACAGGTTTGTGTAACTTTACATCCTGTCTTGGTGTCCTTCATATTGAACATCTGATGGTCAAAACCAGACCAACTCCTGTTAACGTCCACAGCAAAGCATCTCCACGAATCACCGTTACCTCACCAAACTATACTTGATGGACACGGCAGTATCTGTTGTGAATTCTGGTTCTTAAATTAATCTTTAATGATTCTAAGTCAGGCTGTAAGGTGGCTCGGTGTTTAGCACGGTCGCCTCACAGCTAGAAGGTCGCCGGTTCGCGTCCCAGTGAGGACACCCAGGATCTTTCTGTGGAGTCTCCATGTTCTCCCCGTGCAGCGTGGGTTCTCTCCGGGTTCTCCAGCTTCCTCCCACGAGGTCCAAAAACATGCTGAGGTTAATTGGTGATTCTAAATTGTCTGTAGGTGTGAATGTGAGTGTGCTTGGTTGTCTGTCTCTAAGTGTAGCCCTGTGATAGACTGGTTACCTGTCCAGGTGAACCTGTCTTCACCCTGAGTCAGCTGGGATAGACTCCAGCCCCCCATGACCCTGGTGAGGACTAAGGTGTAGAGATGATGATGGATGTATCTCATATTGTACTTAAATGTTTTTCACAACAGGAGTGGATCCAAACTCGTTCTTCTGCTACTTCAGGATGTTGAGTCTGAGCTTGAAAACTTCATGTTTCTCCTGAACTTCTGAAGTTATAATAAGCTAATTATAAAGCGACTGACTTCTGTAAGTCTGAAAATATTCATAGTATGATGGTCCATTTGACATCGCTTCATTCAACATGCTGACGGTTTCATACATATAGAATCAGCTGGTTCTGAGGGAGGCACTGACTGATTGTTCATCTGAATTCTGACACCTCATCAGCAGATTGTTTCTATGAACCGTCCTGTGTGAACTCTGCAGTGGATAAAATCAGGAAATCTGCAGTTTCAGAAATGTCGTCCTCACTCTTTAGTTTGTATCTGCAGGATCGTATGCTGCTGCTCTGCCTCGTTAATCAATCAGCTGATTGGATGCATCCGAAATGACACTAAAAATTTGCTACTGGTTAAATTTGAACACGACATTTTGGTGATTATTTTGTCTTCAGAGCTGCGTCGGCTCGGATCAGATTTGCGTTTGATAAATTCTATCTGTGCAGGTCGCTGAAACAAATCAGATGCTCTGAATGCAGCTGATTAAAATTATTGTTTTTGGATTTAATTTTGTACTAAGGCTGCAGGAGAGAAGCAAAAACCTGCTGTTTCATGCTACTTTTGATCTGTTTCTTCCTAAACCTAAACTTTGACTTGACCTGGAGGACGAACGGTTTCAGGAGGATCAGATTCGTGTCACATGCAGGTTAACACACAGTCAAGTCCTCACTAGAAAAACTACAAACACGAGGGAAACGGTGAACGCATGATGCTGCCAAAAGCATTAAAAATAGTACGAATATAAACGTGAACAGTCTTTATTCACAGAGAAAGCATCCAGTGAATGTGTCAGAATGATAAAAGCAGCTGCAGGCGTTTGCTCCACTCACCTCCTTTCTGCTGCACCACCTGGACGTGGAGGCGTCCGGAGGAGGACCTCTCCATCCGGACCAGGCCCTGCTCCACCAGAGCCTGGACCTGGACCTCCAGCTCCTTCAGGTTCTGGGTGGACCGGGCCTGGTCCCTCTCTCTCTCCTTCTCCCGCTCATGTTCCAGCTCTCGCTCTCGTTCTCGCTGCTGCAGCAGAGTCACCTGAGAACACGACTCTCGGAGGCTCTCCTGAAACACAGCAGCAGCTGCTTCAGAACGCAGCTGGAGAACAGTTCTGGAACAAATCTGGCAGCAAAGGTGCAGCAAGAAATAGTGTAACGCTGTTAAATTCACAGATCTGTAAGATGATGACATTGTTAGCTGATTTAAATTCAGCAATAGATAATAATAATAATAAATGATATCGATAATAATCTGTGCAAATAAAAAGACATAAAACCTTTTTTTCTCACAGTCTGACATTAAATCAGACTAAAGTTTTCCTGTTTTAAGTCAGTTAGGATCACCAACATTATTTCTATTTGCTAAACGCCAGAATAATGAGAGAGAGGGTTTTTTTTATGACTTCCTTCAAAGTCAGAAGTTTCCATCCATCTCCTCAGTATCTGCTAGCGTTGCCTTTAAACTCTATGACTTTGGGTCAAACGTTCTGGGTTTCCTTCCACAAGCTTCTCACAACAGTCTGATGAGTTCTGGCCCATTCCTCCTGACAGAACTGGTGGAACTGGGTCGG